TTATCAACAACTTCAAGCGGTTCACCTGCAAGAGTAAGTGCAGGTATAGGCTTCTGCCAATCCTGCAACAGTACTTTGCACTTACACGATGCAAAGCACATACCATACTTACAGACACTGATTAAGTGCGATTTGCACAGCCTGCATGATATCTCACAGTAAGACGATATCGTCTGCAGACTCAAGATCTAAAAGTCTATCTCCAGAGAGCAGATCTACATCACCTTCACGCACATCCTTCAGAGCTGGCTCCAGAATCTCATCGATGGCAAAGTTAAAGAAAAATGGAGAGATCGGGTAACCCTGTCCAACTCCACTGTTGGTTGGTAGCAGTGATGATAGTTGGTTGTATGCCCTCACTCTACTTGAGGTGTTTCTGTATAAGGCTTCTCAGGTACAACCCTCTCTAACAGTTTTGTCCAACGAATCGAAGGCAGCTCTAATAGCAAGAAACACAACGATTGTTGGTCTGCAATGCGTGTGGCCGTGTTACAATAGCTGACGAAGAGTGAACACATGATCAATGCTCCAGGAGCTGAACGCAACGTAGCATGCTCTTCACGAATCAACCCCTCAAGTATTTTGCACAGCCTGCGGAGCAAGATGGCAGCCAATATTTGAGAAGCAACTGGTAGCAGACCGATACCCCTATGATTGTCACACGAGTTACGTCGACCTTTTTAAAGATGAGGACGATAATGACTTCGTTCCACAGTGATGGTACATTCTCGGTCTCACATACTCTCCTGAATAACCCAGTTAAAGTCATTAGAAGAGTCTCGCCAGCATCTTTAAAATAAGCCAGGGGTAGATTGTCTGGACCGGGTGCCTTATGACGTTTTAATGCTTGAAGTTCCTTATGGACTTCCGCTTTGGTTGGCACTGACTGACCAATAAGTACTGGAGCTGGTGACAGTGTATACCGAAGCTGGAGGCCAGCCAAACTGTTCCTCGAAGTGCTCTGCCCAGCGTCCCATGCGTCTTTTCAGGCCGGTAATTCGCGTGCCATCTGCCTCCAAAACCGTCTCGCTGACTCCTTGTCTCTTGCTGCTGGTGGCTTGAATGAGCTGGAATAGCTTCTGACTATTTCCAGATGCAGCAGCTGACTCCATCTCACACGCACGTTCTGACCACCAGGCTTCGTAGTCCTTAATATAAGAATAAAACTTGTGCACTGTGGCAGAGTATAATTCCATTATGGATAAATTCACCTTGATATGATTATGAGCAATAAATTGTGCTCGAAACGTCATCAGTAAAATTACTGTATAACACTGTGAGACTTTATCAAAACAAAATCTACCCATAATGGAATTCGTAGTCCTTACGTACACACTGTTTAATCTTGCGCGTAAGCGCCGTTGATTATAAGGGTTAGCAGTTTTGTACTCAGAATATTTAAGGGAAGTCTTCCTTTTGACTCAAAGTTTTCAGGAGACCTGGTAGACTTATGCAGAGATCAATTCACCATAAAGAGAAGTGGAGTGGACACCTAACCAGCGTTTACAGCTTTGCTCCAATAAGTGGAATAAGAAACCTCATCAAATCTTTGCTCACAAGAATCCGTCACATATGCAGAAAGGACACATTAAATAGGGAAATGTTGTCCTTCCGAAACATTCTGATTCAGAATGGCTATCCACCAGCATTCATCAATGACTGACTGATTTCAACATAGAACTTTGCACCAACGTGTAGCAGTTCGTCGCCACACTCCACGCAGCACACAAAGCCAGAGAAGAAGAAAAAAGTAAAAAGAAGTGAAAAACAGAGACAGTAAAAGAGATATGAGGCAAAAAGAATAGTAATATCGAAGAACAATATAGTTTTATTGAGTATTATAAGTCACAAGTAGTGGGTGCATCTGTGCTATTGAGAACGATTTTGAGCCATAGCACCAACTGTCTCCAACCATTGGTGTTAACCCTCCCGAGAACCCCAGCCAGTAATTCACCAATAAGCATATGCACGTAAGATTGATAATTCGTAAAAGACAGAAGTACCACGTAAGGTGTTAGTTTTAAAATGAAATTCACTAGTGGCGCGAAAGCTGAAATACTTGGAAGCACAATATCAAAAACAGTTCGAAAAATACTTTTCATCGAATTGATACATCTCACCTCCACCCAACCTCTTATTCATCACTATTGACAACATCTAGGTGCATATGTTAGTTCACTTACTCATGTGGCTCTAAGTGCATAGGCTGTACCAGTAGGATATTGCCTAGATGTGTACAAGTACACCTCTCAAAATGGTCGTCTAAAGGAGAAATTAGACGAACCAATAGCTTGATTCTCAAGCATCTTATTCTTGCACATCTTTCTGCATCAACAGAGAAATCTTCCAGTGATATACAAGGTCAGAGGGTTTCCAGTAATATCTTCTATCTACAGCGGTAGCTCTTTTCATACATCAGGAGAGCCCTGAGTTGTGTCTATATACAGAAGTGCTTGATTAAATACTTTTACTAACGTAACCTTAAGCCCTTTAACTTAGGTAATAATTCAGTGTGTAATCCACCTTTATTGTTTTTTTCCTTCTTTCTTTTCAAACTCCTAACTTTAAAATATGCTTTATGCATATCCCAAATCTCCTACTCTTATGAACAATATTTCTGTTTGTAAGTGCTTACAGTCTTAATGATAATTATTCATGAATTATATTCATCACTGTATGTTTTTAGATTAAGTAAAACTACTCAACCAAGTTTCGTAATTTATCCATCTCTTTTCCAGATATTTAGTCTCATGTGTTATTTTTTACGAAGTGATATTACTAGTTGGTCTTTATAGGCATGTCTGTGGCTTGTGAAGCTACGAAAAGAATTTTACTCGCTGTCCTATGCCATTTCAATTTATATCACAGGTATTTCTCGTACTGTTAAAGTGTTTATAAAGTCACTTGCCTGATTGGTGATGTTTCCATGCTCCCTGCCAATTTTCTTTAGTTTTTCACATTGAATGTTATAACTTTCTCCGAAAGACTGTTGGCCGACAGCTTAAAAGTAGCAACTCTCCCGAAAAAACAGACACTACTAACCTACAGAGTATGGTGATGTTTTGCACCCTAAGGAATTATAAGCATGTCTGAAAACTGTGGGTTAGAATATAATCTGGGTGGACAAAATGCGGGTTTCTTGTGAACATCAAAATTATCTATGATAACTCCCATTTACTGGGATTTGTAGCCACTATTCTTCTTTGAATTACACATAAGCAACAAACGTCATAACCTTTATACAACCAACTTGCATAAATCTGTATATCCTTAGCCTTCTAAAACAGAATTGCAAAACACAGACTGTATTCATGACCTTAAAGTTCTTGATGGTCGCAGTACGCCTTTTCTGTATTCCCATGGTACTTGGAAAATACGGATTTAATAATATTCTCCCCCCCCAACCTTTATTTCAATCTTACTCGGTTTCCATTTACAATACTATGCACAAAAAATTTGCGACACTAATCTTCTTAGGATGATAATCGTAATGATGTCAATAAACCAGATGAATGGTACTCAATGCATGAACCCACATAGGTAAAACGGGGATCAAGTTTATCTCCTGAATAGTAATAGTTGAAATAAACATTATCTGTCTGACCAAAACCATATTAACAGAGATAGGGCAAAGTAACACATCAATATTGGAAGTAAGAATTCACAGAAAACTAGACCATAATTTGTTAAAGTTACAGAATACATCTCCATAATCTGTATACATTAATTAAATGATTTTGCTTATTTTTGAGCTCAGCTTACACACTTTAATTTTAAGTTAACCATATGGTGAGTGCACACAAGTGAGGTCACTTAGCAGGTTGTAAACTGGTATAACACATATCTAAGTGGAAAACATCTACTCACATGCATCGTTTGACTCCTTACATTAATGAAACACAAGATTGTTCTAGTGGGAACCGTGTCATATAGTGCAACTACAAATCGACTGCCTAATACAACTGTCTGTCTGTCTGTTTTCGACATAGAACTTTGCACAAATGTGCGGAAGTTCAAGTCGCCACACCGTGTAGCACACGAAGCAAGAGAAGAAAGTACAAGAAAAGCATAATAGAGACAGTGAGCAGAGGTGTGAGACAAAGGAAGAGTAATAACGAAGAACAAAACAGTTTCATTGGAGATCATAAGTCACAAGGAGTGGATGCATCTGCGCTAGCCACTGAGAACGATTTTGAGCCATGTCACCAATTGTTTCCAACCATAGATTTTTACCGTCCCGAGGACCCCAGCCTGGGAGTCTACACCTTCCTACGTGGCTTAGACCAACTGTTGTGGATTTCATTGACTGGTGCCAAGTTTTTGTTTGACCGCCGCTAGCTTTTTTCCAGCCTGACCCTACATCCGCTAACATTGCTCGTCGGGGAAGGCGATGATCAGACATACGTAATACATGTCCTAACCATCTCAGTCTTTGTAACTTCACGACTTCATCGATTAATTTCCCCAGTTTACCAAGAACTTGACGCCTAACCTCAATATTGCTCACCTTATTATGCCACTTTACACGGGAAATAGAGTGCAGGCACCTATGATCAAAGACAGCTAGTCTCTTCATGTCTTCCACTCTCAGTGGCCTAATACAACAGCACTGATGTGAGGGTATGAGGTCAAAAACGAAAACTGAAGATAACCCAAGTGTAAACAAAAACTCGCAGTTTTTGTGGTACAATGAATCCGACTAGTTCCCAGAAGTTTCAGTAAGTTATATAGAATATTTCGTGATAAATAAAGGTTTGTACTCAGAGGGGATAAATACTGTATGGTACGTTTTATAATCTCATCAGTGGCTACACGTGTAGCATATTTCTATCACTCACAAGCTTTCGAACCTGAAGAATTTACAGATACACATAGACCAACGTGACCACCTCAAAATATAGAACATCAAAATAACGGTAAATAAATTAAGTATTATCTATATTCCTATACAATAATTTGAAAATACATTCCAAATTTTCTCATCATATTTACAAACGAGATTATGATTTAGTATTATTTTCATCTTCCCATGGTCTGTAAACTCTTTTATTCTTCCATTCCTCTTTTCCAGTAGACTCAGAAACTCCTTTATAAAATTGTAGGACATAGGCTTCATCTAAATTGGGTACTGCTGATGATAATTCCCTCTTCTTTATAACGTAATCCCACGTGAACGCAATACCATAAGCTGAAACTATTATTGTTCCAATTATAGGTACTCCACGTATCCAACCACGGTAGCTAGACATATCTTGTCATTCGCTGAAAAACTAAATGAAACGCATAAGTTGACTGACAGAATCATGCTCTTCAAAGGAATATCATAAAATGGCTGAGAAAGCAGGTAATACATTTTAACAGACAATTTTATTAGTTAAAAATGTTAATCCTAAAACTTTACTCCTAATTTCTTTACAAATATTCATCATTAGTGGTAAAAGTTATATTAAGTATAGAGCTGACAATACAATTAAACCGAAAATCCAAATGATCACATCTATCTGAGCTCAAATAGTCTTTAATCAGTTATTGCGGTCACCTTTCATCTACGATTTTACTACTACCTTAGATTTCTTTAGGTATATGTTTAGCACCCGTACTTCTTAGATGTTAGAGTTTACATAATTCTGATCTGCCCACTTAGCTACAGCATACCAAAAATGAACAGACGTCCTAATCTGACGTATGTTGGATCTAAATGGAAATGCAGTGAATGCTTCTAAGCATGTATGCTGATCAACATCGCCAACTATTTTTCACAGAATGAACATTGCATACAGTATATTCATTACCTCAACATTTCCCTTATTGCATCAGAATATCAAGTTGTGTTGGAAATCCACTGAAAACTGACGGGTGTATTTAGAACTCGACAGTAAACAAACTGTTAATAGGGAGTCTTTTGAAATGTAAGTACAGCGGAGATTGGGGTGTTTCTGAACATTAGGGACACATATAAAACAGGAACGTCGCCTAGTTAACTAGCTTGCTAGTTTTCTAGCCAGTCCAAAGCTCGGGTAAAAAGGGAGGGTTGGGCGTGGGACTGTCTACTATACACCACAAAAGTTATCAAACTGCTAGTGAAACATCAACGCACAAAAAGTATATAAAAAATACAAGAAACTCAGATGACAATTTTATTCTTCACTGGAGTTGGAAAGGCGGAATGACACAGCCTTCGAGACCAGTCAGCCAGTCGATGTGTTATCCTCCTATGAAAGCAGAAACAAACATTTGTAATAAGAATATTTGTACAATGTACGACACTGGGAAGCCTGCTTAGGTGGCCAAAGAGATATGAGGGTATGGCCGAGAGCAGATGGAATGGTTGTGGACTTTCAAAAAAGTAAACTGGTGAGTCAGTAATCCACTCCGGTCCCGTCATCCCGACGACAACCACGAGCATACTGAGGCAGTGAGTAGCCATCATCATGTTACCAATGGCAGCCAAAGCCCTAATCCAGTGGGAACCAATCTCCTCCTGCAGCATTATGACAGCAAGATTCAACTCAAAAGGAAGAAAGGAAGGTTACAATCATCCAATAATACGCACCGTGCTACAAACAACGCGGAGCAAGAACAGAAGGGAGATTTCTACAGGCATCTACAAGTAGTAATGGACAACATTCCAAATGGTGACATCAAAATCCTCATGGGCGATATGAATGCAAGCCAAACTGGGAGCACAGAATAAAGGAAGAGAACTCATCATGGGTCGAGAGGCTCTCACCTGCACAAATCAATGAGAACGCAGAATTATTCTCAGACTTCTGTGCTTTCAATGATTTGGCGATCGAAGACAGTGCGTACAAAAACAAGGGTATATACAAAGCAACATGGATTTTGCCTGACAGACACACCAAAAACCAGATAGATTTCATCTCAATGTTGCTCAAGAAAGTGAAAACGCAGTCAGTCTGCTGGACACAAAGCCGAGGAGGCGAGCAGATGTGGACTCACACCATCATCTGGTTCAAGGAACCTTCAAGGTGAAGCTGAAATCCCTCAAAACAAATGGAGACAGGTCACTGTAGTTCAAGTTTAACATTCAGAAACTGAAGCACAAAACCAAAACCTCACTACAGATCATATAACAGCAAAGTCAGACATACTACGTGGCATCACTGAGGAGACCTGTGTCGAAGGACATTGGAGCTAACTCTCTGAAGCTGATGGTCAAGGAAACGTGCACAACTGTTCTAGGAAGAAACAAGAGACGAGACAAGGGATGGCTCTCAACGGACAGCTACCCGGAAGCTAATAGAAGAGAGGGGAATGGTGAAGGAGATAACTCAATGCAAGGATGCACAACAGAAGGAGAAGCTAAGTTCAATATACATTTCACTAAATAAAGAAGTGAGGAAGAGTGGTAGGAAAGAAACACGACAATTCTACGACACAATGGATGGCCAGTGAAGCAGAACAGGCAGGTCGCAGGTAAAAGAGACATCATGACACTATATCAGACAACAAGACTGCTCGCTATTCGGGAAGAGACCAACTCAGATGATGAAACCGATAAAAAATGCTCAAAGGTACTTGCTTATTAAGCAGGGGAAACAAATAAAACAATGGGCTGATCACTTGAAGGACTCTCGAATCATGAATCACTTGCAACTCGTCCTAAAATACCACCAAGAACAACAACAGCAACAAAGACGAAACCAGCGCTCGCAGAACTGCCTGCCAGTCGACATAAGCCCTCCAACGAAAGCAGAAATACTAAATGTAATCAAGCTACTGAACCTTGGTCGGGAGAGCAGAAGGACCAGACGAAATTCGCCAAACATCCCCTTCGAAATACTGTGAACGGGACGGATGTGCTTATGCGATTATTGCAAACGTTTCGGAAGGAAGGAAAGGTACCTACCGATTGGAAGTAAGGCTGACCATCTTGTCAAGCTGCCATGAAAGGCGACTTAGGCCTGTGCAAGAACTGACTGCGTGGAATAATGCTCTTGTCCACGCCAAGTAAGATAATGAGTCGCCTCATACTGGAGAGATCCAAAGATCCACTAGATACAGAACTCCGCCAACCCGCCTGAACAACCTGGCTGTATTCAAGAAAGGCAAATCATGTGCTCATCGAATTACACCTCTACGCATCATCATCATCATCGTGAACAGCATAGAGGGACAGTTGAACCTCAACCTCTACCTCAATTTCATCGACATCGAAAAGGCCTTCACCAGACAGCGTTGGCCGAGGAGTAATTTGGAAACTACTTCAATACTATGGCGTGTAGTGGCCAAGTCTTTATCAACCTCATTCAACAGCTGGCTGGCTATGTGACAATGCCACGTATCAGGTGATCCACAACGGGAAACCCACTCAGCGAGGCGTTCGAAGTGAATACAGGAGTGAGACAAGGCTGACTGCCTATTATCACCCACGATGATATTCTTAATTGTGGTGGACCGGATTATGCGTCAGATTGTGCTTGGGAGCGAGGAGACAGGAATACGCTGGACCAATGATGAGAAGACTCTAGAAGATCTGGATTTCGCGGATGATATATGTCTGATGTCACACAAACTCGAACACTTACAAGCAAAAACAAAATAAACTAGCAGAAGAAGCAATCAGAGAAGAATGAACTCCAGGTGAACATAGGGAAGACAGAGGTGACGAAGACGACCAATAACAACAACAACCAGCACCAATCACCATCAAAGACAGACATTTAACACAGGTTGCTTCCTGCCTTCACTCATCTAGCTAGGAAGCAACGTTTTAACTACAGACAGCGGAAGGGATGAAGATGTCAAAGCCAGCCAGCCAGCCAGTCAGAATCCGAAAGACAAGATACGCACGCCTTTATCAACTTAAATCCAGTTCGAAAATCTTCTGCACTCGGCCAGCATAAGCAACGAAATTCGCACCTTTAACACAAACGTGAAGTCGGCCAGTTCTTCTAAACGGGTCAGAAACTTGGCCAGCAAAAGGATTTTCAACAGGCTACTGCAGACTTTTATCAACAGCTGCCCCCTTCGCCGACTCCATACTGAAGATGAAATGGCCAGTTGGCCAGAAAGAGTAAGTAACGAGAAACTGTGAAAACAAACCAACCGAGAGGCGATCGGTCAACGGATACGTAGGAGAAAGTGGAGAAGGATCTGGTACATATTGAGGAGGCCGTCGAATGACATCGCGCACCAGGCTATCAGTCTAGTGGAATCTAAATGGGAAGCGACAAGTGGGTGGTCGGTGAGAGGGTGACATGTAGAATTTCGTGTGAGGAAGAGATGATAGATTATGGGCAATCGCGGACCCAGCTGAAGAGGACAAAGTGTAGAGGTGTTGCTGAAGCCCTATGTTCCACTCGGAACGCAAGGGAATAATAATAATAAAATAAAAAAATAATACTGATGTAGGTCGATAGGATGCGGCCAAACTTGAAATCAACATTCTAAGTGAATGACTGAAGAAGCTGAACTGTTTATTCCTCCTCAAAACCGGATCTAGTTTACCATATGGACATGGAATTACGTCGCTGGGCAATTTTCCGACTCATCGTTTAACCTTGGGCTGATCTCCAACTATTCGGAATTTTTTTATTTTCCGCTGACCTCGCCGACTTTAATGTGATTAAAAATGCATAAGTATGTTGTATTTCTCCTTAATAAAAAAATTCCTTTACCAATTCTTTTATCGTTTCTTGCTACAACGCCATCATAGAATAAATTCATTTGAAAAAATCTCACAGTGGTATAGAGTGTAATTTAGTGCACCACCCTATACCACTGTTTGATTTTTTCAGAAAAATTTACTCTGCGATGGAGTTACACTCTGCCACAGTGCCAAGGTTCTATTCGTATATCAAAAGGGTCAAACATGCTGATGTTAATATAAGCCTGTCAGTTTTATCTCGCCTGTGTAATGAATAGAACTGTATGCAAAACAGCGGAACCTTCAAAATTATGGGTAAGGGTAAGAAATACCCTAATAATGATAAAAACCCACTATTGTTAGTTCAGCTGGGAAAAATAATAGGGGAAAACTACTGAAGAAGAGTCAAGTTACAGTCTTGGGCTTCCCAAGTTTAAGAGCCATGATTCTAGGCATTGCCAACTACGTCTTCTTTCTAATGAATTTCGGACCTTCAGCTCCTGAGTTTGGACCCCCATTTCACTCATAAAAGTCTAGGCAGTGATCAGTTTTTCACTTTTGAATGATTCACCTAGATGTAAGTATTATTAAAGAACATTTAGTAACTGATTGAATGATGATATACACTGCTGGTTAATA